TAAAACACACGAGAGTAATTAAAATACGAAATGGAAAGCTAGATAAAAATTAAGTAAACAAACTACTCAGTTTCCGCGTAAAACATGCAACACAATTTATTCGTGCCGTAGTCGGAAGCTTAAATTCGAGCTGCGAAAATAGCAACACTGTAATAAGTATTCAGGCGGGCGAGGTGTTGCAATTTTCGGGGACACAAAATCCCACATTTCCCTAATATAATAATTTTGTATAGTGAAATCTCTTTGGTGGAAATTTTGACACGTTTTCGAGTGGTCCGTACCGAGTACTGCTTTATGATATAATACGCTTAATGCCTCAGGATCCTGTGCACAACATATAATATAGTTAGGTTGTTGTTATAAAAAAAAGAGTCGAAAAATGTAAGTCCATAAACACACATATAAGCTTCCTCTAACTATATTACACGTTATTACAACGAAAGTATACAATATACGAAATGGGGTAATATATCCCTTTTAAATATATAATTTAAATTATAGCTTTGTTCTTGTGATTTTAATTATTTTTCCGTTTATGTTCTCTGAAAACCACCACGAGAAGGAATTACTCTATATTATTGGACTGATTGTTATTTTAATTTGCCGTATTATTTTTAGTTTAAATATTTAGGAAATGACATTGCGCGTTTTATTGATTATTAACAAATAAAAAAGTAATAATTAAATAGTTTACGTGAGTGTACTACTGACGTATATTTATATAAAACCCTTTTCGATTTAAACCGCAATATATTAGTTAAACTTATTTGAAAATGATTTTTAACTTCGGCCCGATGTTTCTTCGACGAATCTCCCCGTGACCACGGCTACTGCAAAGCACCCGAAACATCGGGCCGAAGTTAAAAATCATTTTTAAATAAGTTTAGCTAATATATCGCGTTTTAAACAGTTAAAGTGTTTTATTTAAAACTAATAATTGAGTCAATGTCGTTAATGTATTAAAATATTTGTCAACAATTTCTTACTGTACTTTCTATTCTTATATAGATAAATAAAACCAATTTAAAAAGGAACTTCTGCGAATTTTCAATAACATTTTAAATATTGCACAAAAATTTCAACGCACGTGAACGCAATAAATAACACTGTGTACATACCTCGCCAAATAGCAATCTTCTTGCAAACATATTTTGTCTTTAATCGAATGGGGGAAGGGAGTGTAAAATTCTTTCGATTTTCAACCCTTGGGGTTTCGAACCCCTCTTTGTGTAGAGGTGATAAGCAAAGAATTGTTATTTTTATTTTATTGACCGTGATAAGTTACTGAGGATCTGTGGTATTTTTGTTTGTGAAAACACACATTCTATGTTCTTTATAGAATGTAGATTGTTGAAAAAAATCATATATACCTTAAAAAAATTGGTGAGTAGTCATCATCCAAAAACATAGACTTAAAATTTGATTAAACAACATGGAATTTTTTTTTAAATGTAAAATAAAATACACTTTGATTAAAACGACGCGGAAATGTGACAATAAATTAACGAATTACTTTGAACGTTGACAAATGACTAATCCTATATTTGTTGTATATACTGCCTATTGTAAAGAGGATTATTAACATTTAATATTAAATAAATAGCTTGTTCTACATTTCTGATTAAGTAAATAATAATTATATTTATTGCAAAACAAATACATTAGTATGTATATTGTATTGTAAAAATGAATCCGAATATCCAAAGCCAAAATGGATCGACAGCACATCTTATGTACATGTTATGTAGCTGGGGTATTTCACCTCCCATTAAGTGAACCCTATGCTTGTCTGTCTTCGTCTATCACTGAAAATACGAGTATTTAAATAAAACACTTTAACGGTTTAAAACTCGATCGATATATTAGTTAAACTTATTTGAAAATTATTTTTAACTTCGGCCCGACGTTTCGGATGCTTTGCAGCAGCCGGTGGTCACGGGGTTTCAAATAAGTTTAACTAATATATCGCGTTTTAAACCGTTGAAGTGTTTTAATCAAACGTGTACTACTCGCGTAAACTATAGACAGTATTTAAAAAAACGAGTACTTTAATATTGACAAATGATTAACGTACTCTGCGTATCTATATTTCCTCTAAGTAACTCGCAAAATGTTCCCGAACTTCAGGAATTATTTGAGGGAAGCTTGTCATCGCCAAGATTGCTTCGAATTCCTACCCTTAAGCTCTTTCATCGTTGCAAATGGAAAAAGTTTTGATTGTTAAGAAAAAAATTTTGTCAACGGAAGATTTAGTTCAAAACAGTATTTTTATGGTGTAACTGAAGTATTGTTGCTTTTTATTCTTCTGTCTTATTTAAAACAAAGTACTCGTTATATGTTTGTTTATTAAATAAAAAAAATATAAAGATAGCTATGAATATATACAATGTTTGTTTAATACAAAATTGAAACAAATATGCATAAACATTCTGGTTTTGTACGTTAATTGTTTTTATCAATGAAAACGTAATAAAGAAGCTAACCAGCATTTTACTATCACCAATAGCGTTGATGATATACACTACACGAAGAAGAATAACGGATGTTTTTTTATGGTAGAGGACCACAGACAAGCTTCACTTGATGGTAAATTAAATATCCTAGCCGTGTAACATCCCAATAAGATGTGGTGTGGATCTGTTTTGCTTTTAGATATTCGGAAATCCACAGACTGAGACAGAAACGCAATTCGAAACGGTTATTCCATCTGTGTTGCTAGTTCGGGAATCGCGATACCCTTGCCTCATTGAATATTCGTAATTCCAGACAAATTTCAGCATGTTTAAAAAATATATACATATATTAGAGTTTTGACCCGGTGGTGATTGAACCCACGACCCGATGATTATTAGTCATCCATTGCACGAGCAAGTCATATTATATTAGTTGTTCAAGATAAAAAAATACGAAATTTCCATGAAAAACAAGATGGGATCTTCTCTCATCACAGTAATTACATCTAAAGACGCCAATTTAACGCAAAAAAGTGTATACCTACAATTCTTCCCTTGATATGGTAATTTAGAAAGATTTTGCCCTCAGACTTGATAAATTACGCACAAATGGCGTTTGAGTTGATTGCGACCGCAAATTATTTGAATAGCTTTGCGATGTCATTATATTTCAAGAATAATATTATCAAAAGTCTGCCTTAGTTAAGGCATAATTAAACGAAGTCCCTTTTCGAAACTTCGAAAAATACCAGTTACAGAATGCATCGTTTCAACGAAAAAGTATACTAGCTAACAAAAGTGGTTCCATGTTGTGCCGCAATCAGATCCCATGCAATTATCTCGACAAAGCTTTGTATAACTGACTCCCGAATTTTGTGTTCGTGAGTACCGGGCTTGTTATTAGTGCACTCCGTTGTGGATACAAGAATTAGTCGAACTAGCGAAATTGTATTATATTAGGTCATTCCTTTTATTTTATTTTAAGATATTTCTAACTCAAATTAGTTATTTAATCTTAATATTTATGTATTTGCTTAACCATGTGTCATGTAACGATACCGTACTTTAAAACGTACTCGAAACGGGCACTATTGAGCAATTAATAAGTAGTTCTTAATTGTTTTTATTTGTTGGCGTTCGATAACGAAACAACTTTTCTTTTGATGTAATGAGATATATTTTTCGTACCAATTCCATTGCCAACAATGACAGACAAATTTAATCAACAGTCAACGCCGTAATCCGTTGTGTTTAATGAAAATAAATTAAAACATACAAATGTTTGGTCGAAATTTATTCGGATTCGGCCACTTCTAATTGGTCGAAGCTGTAATTTCCCGTAGGAGGAAAACGGAGTAAGGCATAAGAGACCGTTCCAATAACTTAGAGTACAGGTATGTCTGTACTCGTAATTAAGTGCAAAATTAAAATCATTCTGGTTTTGAAAAGTAACTCTTACTGTTATTTTCTTTCTTAAGTAAAGTCTCATCCGAAATTTCAGGCCGTATTCAATATAATTTAACTAATATATTTCGTGTTTTAAACCGTTAAAATTGTTTTTTTTACCGTCCTATTTGTCATGTATATTTTTTCAAAATTTTAACACATAGCTATGTTAATTTCGGTAAATCGCTTATAGACTAATGAGATTTATGTTTGAATGTAATCGCGTAAGTCCGCAACTTAGGCCAATCGTTATCTATTTCATCCAGCAAAATAATTCCCCGAGCAGTTGAATAATGCGCTAATGCGTTTCAGTAATGGCCTCCTTCTGATTACAATTAGCCGAATGTTCTGCTTGATTTGTTCAAGCTTTCGAGATTATACGCGAGCTTTATTACTTATTCGATTGTAGAATCAAATTCTGTTTATTCCACATTAAAATATTTAAGTTTATTGATTTTAACAATTAACAATGAAATCCCGTTTTCCCTCTCGGGGCATGGGGCACACATATATATGAGTCTCCGTTTCACTGATCGTTATTATTTACAGGCAAGTATCCGAATGCTGTGCCCTGCAAAACTGAAACATTTTATCGTTTCCCCGTAATTCGAACCCAGGGCTTCGAAGCACTTAACGCAATGCTAGGCAACATGTTTGACAATTTTAACTTTAATTGTTAACATTTATTTGAGCCATAAGCTACAGAGGCGTTTAAAATATCACGGACTGGATATAAAGCTAAAAATCATAGGAAATTTAAACTATTATAAATATAAAAACTTGAACCGGCATCCACACCAATGGTTAGAGCAACAGCACGGAACATTGTGGATGTTGGTTCGAATCCTGCCCGAGTCGTAAGGTTTTTCAGTTTATAATATATATATTAAAAATCGATAGCATGAGAAAAATGGCAGTTTAAAAAATCTTTTAACAGATTAAAACTCGAAACATTAAGTAACTTATTTAATCGATAAATAAATCGAGCTTGGTAGCTAACCGCGTATAGTCTTAAAAGCACATTCAAGCCTTAGGTGTCAGAATATAAAACACAATTGTGTTTAGTAGTGTTTTATTAGTAAATCAATATTAAGACCCATTTTAGGGGCATTTGGAATATGGTATACATTTTCCGGTCTTCAGGTTCCTCACATTAGGGGTATTGCAGAAGCACTGAGGTATATCACAAGGACCTGCTACCTCCATGTCATGGACAGTAGGGTTGTCGCAGTTAGGTTCTGCTCTTTGTGGACAGTACAGCACCGAATGTTCGCCAGGTCGACATTTGGCTAAAAAACAAAATCATTAAAAAATACCACAAAGAGATGAATACTTTTAATTTGATTGAACTTATCGGGTTGTAGTGGTTTATAGACTGTGGGTGTTTGGCAATCATTAAAAAAGTTATACTATACATCAATCTTTATGTAACTAGTGTTGTTATATAAATATTGGTGTACGATTGATATACTATACTATCATTCTTCCATACGTTTTTTCATGTTAGGTCAACCGTTTTCACAGCGTACGGATATGCTGTGAAAACGGTTTAAAATACCCAAAAAGGTAAAACCCAAAAACTCAAAAAGAATAGTTTCCCCGTTTTTTCCACATTTCCAGCTGTTTCTTCGCTCCTAATAATAGGAGCGAAGAATGTGAATAATCACATCGCATTATTTTACATCCCTTCTCGATAAATTATCTAAACAACGCAACCATTTTTCAATTCAAACCAGTTGTTTCTGCGATTAGCGCGTTCAAACAAACAAACAAAGGTGGCGTTTAATAAAGACTGAGTGTTTGGGAATCAATCAAAATATTATACCACACATTATTATGTTTAAATAACTAAAATTAATTAAAAACGTAATAGCGACACACCTTGGCTTTACACGCACACAAATTCTCATATAACAAGAGTTTTGGGTCAAAACGTAGATTAATTTCATTAATTGAAAGAAATTGCTATAGCTAAGAAACGACTTTGTTTTCTAATTTATTAGAGTAAAGTTGTTCTATCTATACTAATATTATAAAGCTGAAAGTTTGTTTGTTTGTTAGAACGCGCTAATCTCAGGAAGTACTGAAGTTTGAATTGATATTTTATTGTTGGATAGACCATTTATCGAGAAAAGCTTTAGACTAAAGTTATGCTGCAACAAATAGGAACAAAGAAATTGTGGAAAATAAGGGAAACATTATTCATCTTTGAGGGCTTCTGTTGTATGCGCTCTGAAAACGGTTCAAGATACCAGAAAAATGCAAGAAAGAATGATTCCTTTTTTATATTATCTAAATACAAGTCCATATATTATTTTCTGTTAAAATAAACTTGCAAGAACAACTAGTACATTGTACGGTGAAGAATATCCTAATAAATATATCTAAGATATATTTTATTTTATTTTCAAACAAGGGTTGCCTGGAAGAGATCGGTCTATAACAATAAGGCCGCCAATTGCACTCGATAACTAGTAATAATATAGTTTTTTTTCTCTATAGTTCTATTTTAAAGACTTTTTTAAGATACTATGTGTGTGTTGCAATAAAGACTTAAATTAAATTAAATAAAATAAAATTAAATAAATAAAATATATTACCTATTGGTATTCCTTGGCCTACGACACCCAAAATTACGACAGCTGCGCAACAAACAAACAAAATAAACTTCATTCTAAAAATTATAACGTCTAATTACTTTTCAAATATATAACACAATGATTGTAAACTTTGCTCCATCTCTTTTATAAGAGCAATATGCACGAAGGGGAATAACTTTTAAAAGGAAAATGAGAATCTTAACACACTTCTGAGTAGCGTGAAGTCGTTAAATTTACGTGTTTTGAATAATAGTTGTTTTCCTTTACAACGAGCATGAGATTTAAATAAATCAATTTTAACGGTTTAAAACGTGGAATGTATTAGTTCAACTTATGTACAAGTTATTTTTCCATTAGCGTAGCAGTTTTTACTTTTACATTAGGTCCACCCTCTATCTTTAGTCTCCCCGTGACCACGGCTGCTGCAAAGCATCCAAAAGGTTCCTAGTTAATAAGTTTGACTAATACATTTCGCGTTTTGAAGCTTTTAAAATCATTTATTTAAATGTGTAATTCGTAAAACTACTTGTACACGAAAAATCATAACGTCACAACGTCGTTCCCTTTGATATTCGAGATATTTTTTAATAAATACCGGGTAATTTAATGATAAGAAAGTTTCATCTTGAAATATAAAAATAATTATAATCAAAAAAATTATCAACGTAATTCCTATTTTTTTTATTTTATTCTAATAGTTTGAGAGCCATTTTAACCGGCCTTTTTGTTTGTGTAATGATTTAATTTTAACCAAACCTACTTGTTTTATTTCTATATTTTCTTTCATATGTATCTACAGGCGTTTAATTAAAAGTAGCAATTTATTCTAAGCCGAAAACAAGACCACCATATTTTACGCCACCCTCGCTTTAAAGTGTAAAGATAGCGAATTTTATTTTTAAAATAAAACCCAGCCACAAAAAGAATTCAGCTTTATCTGTACACTTTTATATTTAGGGTAGTCGTAAACTGGAGACCACCTTTTGTTATCCCTCACAAAACGAATGATGTAAAATCTTAAGACCCCTGCAAATTACTTTTTTTCTGCTTCATTTGCTAAATTTGGGGCAAACTGCATTGTTATTTTACACTTGTGTTTATTAAGGAAATAACCATTAAAATTATCTGTAGTTTATTATATTATTATTAACTTCCTTATAGTAAGTCCTGGGTTTGAATCTCAAACAATCGATTTTTTCGGTCGGGTAAGGTTCGATCAACTACTTACCTGTAAAGAAAATCGATCATTGGAAAGGACACAGAAATATGTTCGCCACACGCCCCACGGGGGGAAACGTGATTTTACAATTTTATAGTACAAAGTGTATATATATTACATTAATTGATAATAAATTATAAGGTACAAAATAGGGAAGTCCCTAATATCGAATATTACTCACATTGTTTTTTAACACACCAACAATGACGTATTGAAACGATAAAACTTATTTCTTTTGTTTTGTGTTGTGAGGCCGTTTTTTTACCATAATTCTATCGTATTCACATTTTTAATAAAAACAACGAACTCTTCAGTTCGTGATGTGCATCATCGTTGGGCTATGATGTCTAGGCATTAAAAACTTAAGCTATTTAACAAACGTGTTATGTAACCAAGCTGCTAACTTACAATAGGCTCACAGCACATTCGCGTTTGGTGAAAGGCACTCAATATTTGCTTTGCATATTGAAGATCCTGACTAAAACCGAAGCGCGTTTAAAGTTGACTGTTTTATCATATTAGGACGGTGGTTGGTGACTCGGACAGTATTTCGAATTCGATATCTCTACCACCCATTTCTTATCAAGATTTCCAGTCGACGCCCGACATGTTTCAGTAAAATTATAAATTGTTTAGAAAAAATTTGGCCCCGGCGGGGCTCGAACACACCCTTTAATTATAAGTAATGCATCGCCATTGCCAACGAGCAAGAATTTGCCGCTTAAAGTCTTGTAAAATAATAAAACCTCGTCGACTTATAAAAGTATAGAGTATTCATCTCACAATTTTATTTGAGCTCAGAATTTCATAAGTTTCAGTCCAGTTTATCCCAATTACTGGGAAGTTCTTGCAATATTTCAATACAAAGTGACTCAAGAAAGGCCACAAAGGAATATTACTGTTTATTTCTTTCGAGTTGAAAACTAAATGAATCGGCAGTTTCTGTAAAAAAGATTTTACTGGGAATACGCTAAGCAGTTCAAGTCTTGAAGTTTTCTACCAATCTTTAAAACTCGTAAGCATGTATGTTACAAAAATTAAATAAAACACTTCAACGGTTTAAAACGCGATTAATTTAGTTTAACTTGTTAATTTTTTTTACTACAGAAGTTTCGGATGCTTTGCAGCAACCGTGGTCACGTGGAGACTGGTGAGTTTAACTAATATATCTCGCGTATTAAACCGTTAAAGTGTTTTATAAGTGTACAACTCGCGTAAACTACAGTCAGTACAATTTACTTTTCAGCGAGTTTTCAATATAGTGAAGGTCAGAAATTTTTACTTTACTCTCAGCCGAAAAGAAATGTTTTATTTAAGAGTTAATTTATGTAATCGCTACACGAATTGATAAACAACTTTAAAATGGTCTTTCTTCAAAAAATAGCCTTTAAAGTAGAGTTTAATATAATGTAAGCATTGTATGTTTACACGAGTGGTACAAATTAAATAAAAAATTTTAACACTCGCGAAATAGCATATGCGAAACATTTATTTATTATTTAGTAAATTATAACTAGAGATCCCCCGTGATTACTGCTGCTGTGAAATATCCGAAACATTGGATTGTAGTTACAAATAATTTAACTAAACCGGTAAAATTATTCGACTAATAAAATATTTGGCGCGTTGTTCGGGCGTTACGAAATTTCGCTAGATAGGAAAAGTATATCGTCAAAAACTTAATAAAACTGCGTTCCGTCAAGGAGACGTGAATCGAATCGCTTAGCGTGAATAGATCGACAAATAGTGTGGGGTTATCGACAGTTTGGTGCCAACAAAGGATGCAATTTGTCAAATCAAACACCACCAAAGTTATGACACACGGAATTTTATTCTGGTCTTAAACGAGGCGTTTTATAAAATTTGAATTTTCCATAGTGGCGCGGGGCTACACACATTGCTAAACATTCCATCAGGTTTGAATCCGTAGCAAATATAATATATAGTTTAAATAAAACATTTTTATCAGTTTCAAACTTGAAACGTATTAGCGAAACTTATTTACGGCCTGATGAATCTCCCATGAAAACGCCTGCTGCAAAGCATCCGAAACGTCAAGCCTTTGAAATATATTTAAATATGTAAATTAACCAATACATTTTGCTTTTTTAACTTTTTTTGTTTTAATAAATGTTTAGTAATGTAGTAGTAACGTAAGGAGATTTGTATAAATTTATGTGTGCAGTATCAAACCGATTGTAGTTTTTTTTTTTTATAACAATCTAGACATGTTTCACAATAAGTTTATATTAAAATAATTATCTGAAACAACAAATGATGTTATTTCAGCAACCTCTAATATAAACTTTATGTTAAATCAAAGAATTTATCGTTCTTCTTAAGATCATAGCATTTTAGGTTACACGTTAAAACCGTCTTTTTGTCCGCCATTTTTGGTATAATGTCAAATTTGGGCTTCGCGGGAAATTTAAATTTCTTTACATATGTTTTATTTAAAACTCGTAAACTACAGACAACACTTATAAAAAACGTCAATATTGTACATAAATAATTGTCATTTTAAGGGCTGGTTAAAATTACATCCGATGAGGTTTAAATATTAATAGTGAAAATATAATCCTCAGTTAGAAAGCAATCACACATCGAAAAATAGCATATAAAGCGCACGCTTATCAATTTAATGAGCTTATGAAAGCGATCATTGCTTACGTACAAAGTTCTCACCCGTATGTTTCTGATGAGAAAAATTGGTGTTTTCCGTCCCCCTATCTAAAGTTGACAAAGAACTTGAGTGTTTGTCGTTTGAAATAAACATGGGACTCCTTATAGACTAATCTTTAATTCTAAGCGTAAGAATTAGGAGTACATAAGATTTTCTTTTGAACCAAGAGGTCGTAAATTCGATTTCTACAGGGTTCAACGCATTTCAAAATAGAGATACATGCTCTAGGTGTTAAGTGTGTTATTTTGTCTATAAAGTATGGTTATCTTTATTATTTTAGTGTTAATTTCCAGTTTAAATTATCTTTTTATTGTATGATTTTATTTTTCATGTTGACATTTGATTGTTTACTAAAATTATCTTTTTATTTTTATTTCTTATTTCTACATGCAAAGGTTGCCTGGAAGAAATCGCCATAGGCGATAAGGCCGCCTTTGCACAAACATGATTTATTTTGTATATATAATTCTAAGTATCTATGTTTGTGCAATACAGAGTTTTTATTATTATTATTATTACATAGTGTGTAAAATAGAAATATCGTGCCTGTAGTTTACGTGAGTAGTATTCATTTAAATAAAACACTTTGACAGTTTATAAAACGATAAACATTAGTTAAACTTATTTAAAAATTATTTCTACTACGGCCCGAAGTTTCGAATGCTATGCAGCAGCCGTGGTCACGTGGCCACGGAGCGGCAGTTAAAATAATTCTCATACATATCGCGTAACTACAGACACGATATTTCTATATTTTAATCGAAATATCGTGTTCGTGTATCGTTTTGGTTTCAATCTACGGATTTCCGAAAAGTCAGAGCCAAAATTTGTTAGATTTTAATTAGATTCTATAGAGTATAGAGTATTGGTACCTCACTATATATTCTGTCTTTTCTGTCATAAAAAATAGCTTTTTTATTTAACACTAACTGTGTCAGCGACTTCGTCCGCGTAGAATAGTTATTTTGGACATCCGAATTCGTTTTTGCATGTTCATCATTCTTTCATACATATTTTTTTGGGTTATCTCGAACCATTATTGCAGCGTACGCCTCAGAAATCCATAAAAATGGTTAAACATCCCAATTTTTTCACATTTCTCACTGTATCTTCACTTATATTAGTCACATGGCGATGATTTATAGCCTATAGCCTTCCTCGATAAATTCTC